ATTTAACACAATAAAACCATGTTTGATGTCGTAAAATTGAATATTGAGAAAATTTACTATTTTACAGTTTATTTTGTCCTCCCATTCTGCCTGTTGTTAGTGTTTAGTGTTGGACAATTTTTGCTCTTAAAATTAAGAAAATTATGTTGAGCAAAAATAAAACTACTCAAAAACGCCAATATGTGGTAGATTTCAGACCTTGTGTGGTAGGTGTGCTCAAAAAAGTGGCAGATCTACAACAATGTGGTAGAAGTCCGATCACTGAAAGGAATCTTACAGAGTATATCGATGGCTGAGTGGAAGATCGACCTATCTCGGCAACCAGTTCGAAAACGCCCTATCTCAGAAAATTTTTTAACAACGCTCTATCTCAGAAAACTTTTCAAGAACGCCCTACTTCAGGATTTCATTGAAAAACGCCCTATCTCAGCTGCCAATTCAAAAACGCCCTATATCGGCTTATTTTCAATGTATTTTCGTTTGAGATAGGGCGTTTTTCGAAATGAATTCTGTGATAGGGCGTTATTCAACCAAATTCCGAAATAGGGCGTTTTTCAATCAAACTTTGAAGTAGGGCGTTCTTGAAAAACTTTCAGAGACAGGGCTTTTTGAACTGGCTTCCGAGATAGGTCGATCTTCCACTCAGCCATCGATATGCAAAATTTAAATTTTTAACATTTTTCATTTTAAATTACGACTTGTCTGACTATTTTGTTAACTAGTATACATACATAGGGTGCCCATTCTGAAGACAAATTAACCATTTATAAATGGTTGTAAACAACGAAATGTTTTCTCTTAAATGGCATATGTAAGTATTTTTCATCGGGCAAACAGAAATAAAGTTACGAGCAAATATATGCTTCAACCTATGAAAAACGCGTTTTTTACCTTCAGCCCAGATTTTGAGAGTGTATTCAAAATTCTGAGTACCTGTGCGTACATATTATTTTTGTTTATTTCACTTCAAATCTCACAAAATCATAGATGCAAAAGTATGGTTGACACTGGATCAGCTGTTTAAGAATGTATTTATGACCAAATAGTCAAATCGTGTGAATGAATGTGGACAATATTTGTCACTTTACTGCTGTGCGCAAATGTGTGCCAAATCATTTGGATCTTTGGCAGCCAAATCGTCTGATCGCAAAACAAATCATTTGTACATCGCTATCCAAATGCGCAAATGTGGACAAATCTAAATTTGGCATTTTGTGTACAAATGTACAAATCGTGTGATCCCTGCTTTACACATATGTTAGTGTTTGGCCGAGCTTCTCGTCCGATTTGTGGTGTGCGCCTTGAGATTGTCACACAAAGGGGAGGGACCTACAGTTTTACACCGACTCCGAACGGCGATTGTAGTTTTATGAGAAGCTGTTTTTCATGGCAGAAATACACTCGGAGGTTTGCCATTGCCTGCCGAGGGACGACCGCTGTTAAGAAAAAACATTTCTTCTAAAATTTTTTGCGATGTTGCTTTGACCAGGGCTTGAAGCTAGGTGCCTTCTAATTAAAGCAAAAACTGCAACCACCGGCAATCATTGTAAACTCTAGATGTACAAAATAAGAATACCCAAGAACAAAGTGTAAGCTCTTCCTATGTAAATTTTGTTTGTGTGGCGGTGTGGCTCAAATTGAAAAGCTTCTTGCTTAGTACCCATGGAAGGCCTTCCAGAAGGGCTTTTATGGGACGTACTTCAGAAGGCCTTTTTGGAGGAGTTCTTTTAAAGTTGCTTCTTTAATTTATAAAAATCATACATCTTTGAAGTATGTATTTGCTTAAGGTTTATATCAAATATGTGTTATTGCAACTTAAAATGTTTATTAAAATTCATTTGCAATGCTAAATAATATAAATTTATGCATTCGCGTAAATGGATAAGCCCTTCTAGCAAGCATGCAAGGAAGCACTTTTTCCGCCCTTCTTGGGTAGGCCTCTTAGAATAGTTTTATTTAACAAGGCCTACCTAAATTATCTTCTGGGTCTAGGTCTACTGTTTTGGATATTTTTCTTCGGTTTATTATATTTTTTATGAAAGTATGGCTCGTTGTTGTTGTAGTGGTGTAGTGGTAAGCAGTGCGCGCTTTCACACATCAGCACCTGGGTTCAAGCCCAGGTCAAAGCAACATCCCAAAAAGTATAGAAAACGGTTTTTTCTTAACAGCGGTCGTCCCTCGGCAGGCAATGGCAAACCTCCGAGTGTATTTCTGCCATGAAAAACAGCTTCTCATAAAAATACAATCGCCGTTCGGAGTCGGCGTAAAACTGTAGGTCCCTCCGCTTTGTGTGACAACATCAAGGCGCACGCCACAAGTCGGAGGAGAAGCTCGGCCAAACACTAACATATGTGTAAGCGCCAAACTATTATTATTATTATTATGGCTCGTTATCTAACAAAAACCATGTAAGACCGTATTTCGAACCTTGTATATAATTTTATGAAAATTCGATAAGTTTCAACAAAATTGAATAAAATTTTCAAAATTTTCAATAACAAATTTTAGTTTGCAGTTTTATGCCTATCACATTTTATTATAATAAAGTGCATGTTTGAAGTAGCGACAAATTTCCGTCGATTCTTGGCCACTTTTTTGTTGTAGTTCGACAAATTTTTTATATGGAGAAAATGAGCAAACCTTCAACCAAGAAAATTAACCAAAATCTATGGTAAGTCCTAGCTAGTTCAAACTTGCACTTTATTAAACTAAAATTGGTCTAAAAAACAGAAAACTCAAAATATTTCTAAGAAATCTAATTAAAAAGATCAAAATTTTCATGAAACTTGGTATAATATAAAAACTTGACTTAACACTGCCAATCTGATAAACATATATTCTAGTATAATAAAGTGCAAGTTTGAATTACTAAATAAATTCCCGTTGATTTTTTATATATATTTATTTTTTTTTTGCTGATAGTGATTAATATGTAGCATTACGTCGGTGCAATGACCTTTTTAAGATCCTTCTTTCTCATGTTACTGAAACAAATATTTTTTGTAGATAGGCTGCTCTGTGCGACAGTGTGCGAAATAGAAGTTTTAGGGCCATACAGCCAGGGAGTAACTTAACTTCAAAAAAATTAAATTCAAGCTTCTAGAAGAAACTTCGATTGAGCTGAGTGAATTCGCTTTTTGCAATGCAAATTATTTACAAATTCGTATGCGCTGTAAATGTAACGAAAAACTTGGAAGGGATGCAGTTAGTCAGTCATTGCACTGCCTCAAAACCCAATTTTCTTTTTATCAATTAAAAATAGGTACTATTTCAATACGACACTCGGACACGCTCGTAGCAACTGTTACAGCGGCAGGAAGTGGAACGGACGATGTAAAGCGTAGCCTGCATACACTCAATGATGATCTATTTAGCATATAGCCTTGGATAGGCGAGCGGGTGGGTGAGCGTATGAAGCGGCAGCGCCTGCATTGGATGCAATAATGAATGAATTGAACTGACTGCATCACTCTTATAGATGTTATATATAGTACATATGTTTATATGTACTTACGATGCTTGTAAAAATGCCTATACAGTATGTATGTATGTATATGCACATACATATATGCGAAAGGAGGCAGTATGCAGTGAGAAAACTATAAGCTCTCGTACGAGATGCAATGGTGGAAAGTTCAATTTCAGTACGGTGCGGAGGTGTTGGATGCAATACCATATATACATATGTATATGTACTATACCAATTTGTATGGTTGCATTCGTAGTGCCTATGCAAATACATACGTATGTATGAATTGATTGCGAATGCTTATATGTAAATGTTTCGTGGAATGCGTAAATACTTAGCATTTTTACTCGCAAGCTGATGAGGGCACAAATGTGTCCACAAGTGAAGAAGATGTGCAAGCGGGCACACCGTCTGTCTGAAATTTTTACTGATAAACGGAAGTGCCACTTATGGGTAGTTCCCTCCCCGCTACCGCCAACACCCCAACGAATACAGTTGCCGACAATATGACGTTGAACAAGTAAATATGTATGTATGTATATGCATCTGCACGCTAAAGTTCATTTGTACTTTAAAGTTGCATTTTTGCATTTAGGGCGCGTCTGCGGTGAATTTACAAGTACATGGAAATGAATTGCACTTCCTGCCATGATTTATTCAAGGATGTCGATTAAAGCATAATGGTAATTTCTGTTAGGTTTGCTTGTTCAAGCTCAGCGTACATTTTTCTGTTAATAATGATTCGAAAATCGGTAATAGACCTTACACATACTACGTTGTTTTCAAATAAAAACTACTTACAAAAACTATTTGCAGAATGGTTAATGTAATAAGAGCGTTGTAAATTTCTACAATAAAACATATGTAATAGTTAATATAAGCAGATTTGACTGATGAAAACGGCCCTCTAATGCGGAATTTCCACTAGGCATTGAAATGACGTAAAATTTGAGGCATTTAAAAAATGTCATGTGAAAATGAATTCAATGACGTATTTTTCTTAAGTAATGACAAGAATATTTTTTAATGCCCAAGTTTGACATTTAAATTTCTGCCATTTAATGCCTAGTGGAAATCCAGCATAAGTCTTTTATAGTCAAGTTGAACGTTTGAAAGAATAAAAATAAAATTTTAATAAGTCTTTAGATATGTCGCACGTTTAATAATACAACGAAGTGTTTCAATATTTCACGCAATCCAAATTTTATCAATTCATACAGTTGGTATACAAAAATACAGATGGAAAGTTTGGTTATTTGTTAAAGTGAACATATTCTACTTACCAAGCTTATAAATTGCATAATGAAATCTCCAAAAACGTAAATTTTGAGTTGCATCTCTATATTATTAAACGTGCGATGTATGTCTAGAGACGAGTCAGTTTCTGTTTCTTTTAACTAAAACTTGATTCTGGAGTGTCTATTATTGAAAAAGTTGTAACTCTGATTTCATATTAAAAGTTTCGTTAGTTATGAAAGCGTGCAGCCAAACGTGTATATATAACATTGCATTTTAAGTTTACAAAACTTACCGTTAAAGAATAACATATTTCCACTTAAGTATGTAGTTGCCTTCTCATGTTTTACAGCAACATCAGAGCACTCAAGTACTGCTCCAGTACTGCCTGCGCTAGGACTGCACCATTCTCTACAGCCAGCGAGTACGCCGTATCACCATTTTCATTCGATGCCGTCATATCCGGATCCTTAGCTAATAATTCATTGCACGTATGTGGATGATTTCCTGCTGCAGCATACATTAATGCTGTATTGCCTACAATATCCATGTGCGTCGAGCTAGCACCGTGCTCCAGCAACAAGCGTACAACCTCATTGTGACCACCACAAGCAGCAAGCAGTAGTGGAGTGACCATTTCGGGTGCCTCTGCATTCACGTTAGCACCAGCATCCACTAGCAAACGAACTGCAGCCAACTGACCATAATAAGCAGCCCAATGCAGAGCAGTGAAACCAGTTGCATCTTTAAAATCAATGATATTAGCGTTGCGCTCGAGTTCTAGGCGCACTTGATCATCGGTGATCTCACCTTGACCGGCACGCTCATGAAATGATAATGTGACTTCCACTGGACAAAAGGTTGCTTCAGTATTGCCGCGTTGCAAATTCGTAAGCACAGTGGCATGTGGGCGATACGGAAGAAAGGCACTTTTACGTTTGGGTGCACAACCGCTGCCCCCACCACCGCTTGCACTGCCACCGGCCTCAGCTGGTTGTAGACTGGCCGAAAAAGAATGCAGCGAAGTAGGTGTGGATATGGGTGTGGTCGTGGTTGAATTTGGCGATGGTGTGTCCGCATTTAGTTGCATATGCCATTTGGAGCTACAAAAAAGGGATTAGGTTAACTTTTTGTCGCGACAAAATATACATATGTATGTATATGTATACATATGTATATGTATGTATGTAGATATAGTACATAGATATTTTGTTTACAAAATATGTCATGGCATATGTACATATGTATGTGCATTCAAATGGTAGATTATCCCATGATACATTCAGTGCCGCACTAAATGATTGGCACAAGGAATATTTCACAATATACATATATGTACATATAAGCAAAATGCTGTACTTTAATTTTTTTCCACAAATTTTTTATAAAACTATAGTTTATACTACGACAAAAAAAAAATAAAACTCGGGAAAATTTAATACATTTTCATAAGCAACTTTTTAATCGCTTTTCTACAATTTTTCTATGTACGATTGTAGTTCAATTTTAGTATAACAAAATTCAAACTTAAAGTTGGTAAAAAATCGCGTTGATTTTAGGAAATTTTTTTCACGCAGTTTCCTTCCATATAAAGCGGGCAATTAAAAACTGCGTGAAAAAAATTGCCAGAGAGACTTTTTACCAACTTCAAACTTGCACTTTGTTATACTAAAATTGAATTGGCTATACAACTACTTACAGTAACTTACAGAAGTATTCGTAATTTACTGGCTAACCAGAATAGTAAGACTGTGGTATGTAGCAAGAGCTGTCAAATGTTAAAGTATTCTAGAAATGCTCTAATCTGCCCACAATATGCCTCTGTGGTTGTGGCGTATTATTGCTTATGTAGCTAGCGAAATAGCTTGTGGCTGTGGTTGTTGTTGTTGTAACAGCATACAAATTCCCCAAAGAGATTTTGGGGAGTGTTGCTGGAGTGGTGGCAGTCCTTGGCCATATATATATATCTATCTGGGTCGTTCCGGTTACGTAGACCCGACTGTCGTGGGAACGTTTGTGGCTGTGGTACTACAATCTGGTTAGCCAGTTAGGTTTTTCACAATATTCAAAATATTTTCCATCATAAATCTTTTTGTTAATTTTTTGTTTTTTTTTTTAATATAGCTCACTCATAGTTGTTTTGTGTCCTGAGCTTTGTATGGACGGAGATGTATATCCAAATGCAAAATATACCATGATAAGCCATATGATGACGACCACGGCAAACGTTTTAAGGACTACGATTTGAGGGCATGCACCTGGAATGTCCGCACCCTTAATGGGGAAGGTGCCTCTGCCCGGCTGGTTGATGTCCTCGTAAGGACAAAAGCTGACATCACCGCCATCCAAGAAATGCGTTGGACGGGGCAAGGCAAACAATGTCAGGGGCCTTGCGACGTCTACTACAGCTGCCATGTAAAGGAGCGAAAATCCGGAGTTGGATTTGTGGTGGGAGAGAGACTCCGTCGCCGAGTACTGTTGTTGTTGTTGTTGTTGTAGCGGCTACAACCCCGCCCAGATCGGTTGGTATCTCAGTCGTTGTCGTCAAGTTCCACTAACGGCAACCCTAGGAAGCGTGCAGCTTCTGTGGGATCTGTCCACAGGGACAGGGCCGTTAGGGTTGTCGGGTTTTCCGGGCATGCGAAGAGATGGTTCGAGTCATGTGGGGTCTCTCCGCATGCCCGACATTCGTTCGCCACATCCTCATTCAACCTACTCAAGTAGGAGTTTAACCTGCTGCAGTAGCCGGAGCGAAGTTGAGCGAGTGTAGTGCGTGTCTCCCGAGGCAGATGAAGCTCTGTCTCGTCTATGTCCGGGGGTGGTATGCCTAGAACGGCATTCACAGGTCTAGAGTCTACATAACTCGAGACTGAGTCCCTGTGAATGCCGTTCAGGGCCTGTCTGTACGCTGTCGGGTCCAGAGGATGCTTAATGAACCTCTGGACTTCGTCCGTCAGTTCATATAGATGCGTCCTGACGTGCCTAGGCGAGGGCTCCTCTGCAAGCAGCTGTGTTTGGGTGGCCACTTCTGTGGCTCCCGATCAGGAACTGCTTGCAGAGCATTATATTATGCTCCTTAACTGGGAGCATGTGCGCCTCGCCGAGTACTGTCGTTCACCCCGGTGGACGAGCGATAAGCCACAATCCGCATCAAAGCGAGATTCTTCAACATCTCGCTCATCTGCGCCCATGCCCCGACGGAAGAGAAGGATGAGGCATCCAAGGATCTCTTCTATGAGCGCTTGCAGCGCTCGTACGAGCGCTGCCCCCGTCAAGATATCAAAATCGTGCTTGGCGACTTCCAATGCCAGGGTGGGCAAGGAAGGGATCTTTGGAACCACCGTCGGAAAATTCAGCCTCCACGACGAAACGTCCGACAACGGATTGAGGCTGATCGACTTCGCCGGGGCCCGAAACATGGTAGTATGCAGTACTAGGTTCAAGCATAAAAAGATCCATCAAGCTACCTTGATGTCTCCGGATCGAAAATCGAGAAACCAAATCGATCATGTTGTGATAGACGGAAGGCACGCTTCCAGTGTTTTAGACGTACGCACAATCCGAGGCCCAAACATCGACTCGGACCACTATCTTGTTGCAGCCAAGATACGCACCCGCCTCTGTGCAGCAAAAAATGTGCGCTCAAATATGCAAGGAAATCTTAACGTCGGAAAGCTGCAATCACAACAGACAGCCAGCGCTTTCACTACTCGACTCTCACACCTGCTCTCAGAGAGCACTCTTCAACAAACCGACATATGCGAGCAGTGGAACCACGACAGTCGGGTCTACGTAACCGGAACGACCCAGATTTATATCTGGCCAAGGACTGTCACTCCAGCAACACTCCCCAAAAAGTCTTTGGGGAATTTGTATGCTGCTACAACAACAACAGCAGTGGAACCACATTTCCCGCTCATTAAGTACCGCCGCCGAAGAAGTAGTCGGATTTCAGCGAGCCCGAAAGAACAACTGGTACGATGAGGAGTGTCAGGAAGCTACAGAGAAAAAAGATGCCGCCTACAGGGCCACGCTGCGATCGGGCGCAACGCGCGCTATGTGGGACCGCTATAGGGATCTGAAGAGGGAAGCGAGACGTATTTGCCGCAACAAGAAGAGAGAGGCCGAAATACGTGAGTGCGAAGAGCTTGAAATGCTGGCCGACAGGAGGAATTCCCGAAAATTTTACCAGAGACTTAGGCGACTTACGGAAGGTTTCAAGACCGGGGAGCACTCCTGTAAGAACAATAATGGCGACCTAGTAACTGATGTCCAGAGCGTACTTAAATTATGGAGGGAACACTTTTCCGCCCTACTAAATGGTAGCAGCACGGAAAGTTGTGGAGAAGAAGAACCCAAGCCCGCAGTCGATGATGACGGAGTCGACGTTCCACCGCCTGACTATGACGAGGTACGTATAGCAATAACGCGGCTGAAAAACAACAAAACCGCTGGAGCTGACAGCCTGCCAGCTGAGCTATTCAAGTACGGCGGCGAGGAGTTGATAAGGTGCATGCATCAACTCTTGTGCAGAATATGGTCAGATAAACGCATGCCCGACGACTGGAATTTAAGCGTGCTCTGCCCAATCCACAAGAAAGGTGACCCCGCCATTCGCGCCAACTACCGCGAGATCAGCCTTGTAAGCATAGGTTACAAGGTCTTATCGAGCGTATTGTGTGAACGACTGAAGCCCACCGTCAATGAACTGATTGGGCCTTATCAGTGTGGCTTTAGACCTGGCAAATCCACCATAGACCAGGTATTCACAATACGCCAATTCTTGGAAAAGACCCGCGAGAGAAGGATCGACACTCACCACCTATTTGTCGACTTTAAAGCCGCTTTTGACAGCACTAAAAGGAGTTGCCTATACGTCGCTATGTCTGAATTTGGCATCCCCTCAAAACTCATGCGACTGTGTAAAATGACGTTGAGCATTACCACCAGCTCCGTCAGAATTGGAAAAGACCTCACCGAGCCGTTCGCCACAAAACGGGGTTTCAGACAGGGCGACTCCCTTTCATGTGACTTCTTTAATCTGATGTTGGAGAGGATAATAAGAGCTGCAGAACTGAACCGCTCAGGAACAATTTACTACAAGAGCGTGCAATTGCTGGCTTAGGCCGATGACATCGACATCATCGGTAACAAAAACCGCGAAGTCTGTTCTGCCTTTTCCAAGTTGGATAGGGAAGCAAAGCGAATGGGTCTGGTGGTAAACGAGGAAAAGACGAAGTATCTCCTGTCATCAAACAAACAGTCAGCACATTCGCACCTTGGCACCCACGTCACTGTTGACAGTTAGAATTTCGAGAAAGTAGAGAATTTGGTTTACTTGGGAACCAGAATTAACACCGATAATAATGTCAGCTTTGAAATCCAACGCAGAATCACTCTTGCCAACAACTGCTACTTTGGACTGAGTAGGCAATTCAGGAGTAAAGTCCTCTCTCGACGTACGAAAACCACGCTCTATAAGTCACTCATCATGCCCGTGCTGGTATATGGCGCAGAAGCATGGACAATGACAACATCCGATGAGGCGGCTCTTGGGGTGTTTGAGAGAAAGATTTTGCGGAAGATTTACGGTCCTTACGCGTTGGCGACGGCGAGTACCGCAGACGATGGAACGATGAGCTGTATGAGCTTTACAACGATATGGACATAGTGCAGCGAATTAAAATACAGCGGCTCCGCTGGCTTGGTCATGTCGTTCGAATGGACACCGACGCTCCAGATCTGAAAGTATTCAACTCGGAACCCGCTGGTGGTAGCAGAGGAAGAGGGAGGCCCCCACTGCGATGGAAAGCTCAGGTGGAGAAGGACTTGGCTTCACTTGGCGTTTCCAATTGGCGTCAGTTGGCACAGAGGAGAAACGACTAGCGTGCTTTGCTGAACTCGGCCAAAATCGATTAGGCGGTTACAGCGCCAAAAAAGAAGAAGAGAAGCCATATGACCATGTACCATGTTCTTTAAACGACGCGCGATCGACAAATTTGTTTATTCGGCCATAGGTTTGAAAACCTTACCAAGCGTTTCTGGTGTTGCGGCTTTCAGCATTAACAGTTATAAAAATTTTAGGTGAATGGACAGCTGATTGCCTGAAAAGCTTGGTGTCTTCGGATATAGGGGCTGAGTTCCAAGTTGCATTATTGCACAGCATCAGCCTCATTATATTTCTGTACTGTAACTGATGGAAAAGACCGTTCCCACGACAGTCGGGTCTACGTAACCGGAACGACGCAGATTTATATCTGGCCAAGGACTGTCACTGCAGCAACACTCCCCAAAAAGTCTTTGAGGAATTTGTATGCTGCTACAACAACAACCAATATGCGCAACCACGTTCAAATGCCGAATTGGAACTTAGTTTCGCATATTGGACATTTCCATCAATTACAGTTTAGGAATAAAGGAGGCTGATGCTTTGCATTAATGCAACTTGGAACTCAGTCATGTACACACTAGGGCATTATTTTCCATGTCGCGAAATCCCGGTATTACAGCTCCGGTATCCCGAGATTTTTACTAATTGACTTACAGAATGAAAGATATGTTGAAAATGAAAAAAAAAATATTAATTTGACATAAAACACAAGAAATACAGAACACCAAACTTTGGATTCAAAGTGAACTTGAGCCATTTGCAGTCGGAAGAGAATTCCAGGACCTGCCTCAATAACTGTACGAAAAATCTGGTAGCAATTCAAAACACATCAGCTTTTACAGTGTGGCAGAGATCTTCTTCATTTTACTTTGTTGGCCTTTTTTGGAAAAGCATTTCTGCAATTATGAGTAAATGTTTTTGACAATATAGATATTTTAGAATAAAAATATTTAAACATCAAATTACATACTCTTTTACTAGGGGCATTATGTTCGCCTAAGATCAATTGTGGTGACAATGAATCTGTGTGGTTTGAAAAAGGCGAACCTACTGTAAAATGCAAAAAGTTGTGATGAAGTCGAAATCCCGAAAAATATGCATTTCTGAACGCACCCATGCTTCGGGATTGAATGCCCTAGTACACACAAATGTACGTTTGTACCGTTCAGCACATGAAATAAGTTTGGTAATTTTTTGTTGTATTTGGTAACTTTTTCCGGTGATTTTGGTAACAAAATAAAAAAAAAAAAGTGTGGAGACACTGACCATGTCCCCTCTCCAACATTACCTCAGAACTCCACAGGCGAACAGCGATGGCCTACCAACTGTCATTTTGACGAGCAAAGTGATTGCAAGTTTTTGTGTGTGGGCACTTTGATGTCTTGAAATAAGCATTTGCCGCATGACGCCACCAGACAACATTCTCTCAATTTAGGTGTTTAAAAACATTTAAATCTTTAAAAAACTTGCTAAATAATTTCCTAAAACGTAATCATAAATTATCCAATACGGAACAGATTTTTGCAGATATTGCAGCACATAAGCTGAAATTAGTCGAGAACGCAGAACGTATACTTAAACGCAGTCTGTATACGCAGAATTTTGCCGATTACTGGAGCCCTCAGTGTTGCTTACTACACTGTTGCCACTCATCAATGCATTTTCATAAACTTACCCTTTCAACTACAATTTTTCGTGCTATAATAGATTTTAGCTAAATATAAACTACTTAGTTTTCAACAAAAACCTTATTCAATAGTAAATTTCAAATATTTTAAACATATTTTGAATAGGAACTTATATCTTTTTTACCATCTGTAAAACTGACGAAGTGGCAACCATCTAAAGAAGGAGAAATCAGCTGACACGGAAAAATCTAAATTCCGCAGATTTCTGCGCTACGGGCTACAACTGCAGAAAAATTCTGCGGTGCTGAGTTTTCATTTACATGGCGCTTTGGTAAGACAGATCGTGTCAGCTGACTCGGGTTTACGTACCGGTAGGTTTACGTTCTTGACTAATTTCAGCTTAAGAAATAGGCGGTCTCCATTGGAAATATATTTTGTGACATGGTTATCACGACATCAGTGTTTTCCTGTGGAGACAGGGCCTTAGCTTTGATCCAATAGCTCTGATCCAGTACTCCATGAACTTACAGGATTTTACACGAAGTTGCAGGAAAAATGTTCCCGTACTCCAAAATCCTGTAAATGAGAGCGACTTTTGGAGAGTTGTGTAGAGAATGAAGTTGCAAGATTTTACCCGAACTTTTTATTCTGGTAAAATCATAAAGTGCCAAGCAATCACTGGTTGACGTTTTTACAGGAAAATGTTTTTTTTGTTCCCGTACTTTTTGTTGTTACTCACTTTTTACTCTCACTTCAGAGTAATTTTGATGTTTGACGATTTTACAGGATTTTTCACGAAAAGTATTGGATCAGAGCTATTACTTTTCGTGAAAAATCCTGTAAAACTGTCAAACAGCAAAATTACTCTCTGAAGTGAGAGTAAAAAGTGAACAACAAAAAGTATTGGTACAAAAACTCAATTTTTCCTGTAAAACGTGAACCAGTGATTGCTTGACACTTTTCATGATTTTACTAGAAGAAAAAGTTCGGGTAAAATCTTGCAACTTCATTCTCTACACAACTCTCCAAAAGTCGCCATCAATTAAAAGGATTTTGGAGGATTTTGGAGTACGGGAACATTTTTCCTGCAACTTCGTGTAAAATCCTGTAAGTTCATGGAGTACTGGATCAGAGCTATTGTAACCAAAGGTGTACCAAATACAAACTTTAGTGTAGACTTATTTTAAACGCATTGGCGTTTCCTATAAGGCTTACATCTTTTTTTAATTATTGCACTTTGAAACTTTTTTCCTTTCCGGAAATGGTGGCAAAATTCCAATTTGAAAGCGCAAGCTTTCCAAATCTATGATTAAATCGTACGCCCTCTTTCTAGCGAATTCCCCATTTTCATTGCCACGAAATTACAGTAACATTTCCCCCAAGGCGAATTTAATTAGGTGGTGTATTATTTCTCCTACTTACCGGCTCTGCTCGTCATCCGAAAACGAGTTCGTTGCTGGCGAATTCGCAGTTGAAGACATGCTGCGTATATTCTTCGGTTCTCTGGTTCGATAGTTGGATATTTGCCACTTTTTTTATGATTTCGGCTTAAAACACAAATTCTAGACTGACTGAAAATGCGCCACCAATTCGACTACGCTAAACGGACCAATTAATTCGCCTGCTTCTCGGATAATTTCGAACTTCAATGTGAATGAACTAACTGCGCGCCATTTTAATTCCTTCGGTTCGTGCCCGAATATGCAATTTTAGTATGCAGAAAAATAATCTTATATTAATTTTCCAATTCGCTTCTAAAAAATCGTCTCGAATAGCTTTGTATATTTTTATGCATGAATATCTAGATATTAAAAGGCGCGACTTGCAAATACAGCATTGGCCTGCGGTAGAAGACACGATGCCGTGGGTGCGCACACTTCCGCCCAAGCCGGTGCTAAAACAACAACACAATCTGTACTTACACCTTTTATCAATAAAAATTTCATAAATATAAAACACTCAAGCTGTTGCAAATTCTTAAAATCTCTAATTATTATTTTCTTGGTTTACTCACCAGGTTTTCAATGAGAAGCGTGCAGTTTTCTTCGAAGTTGCTGCCAGAGAACTTGGACAAATTAAATTTTCTCTGCTGCCGCTGTCAAAAAATTTGACGGTCCCAAATTATTTGGTCCTAAACCGATTCCGTAGCGCATTTGGTCCCAAACCGATTCCGTAGTGTATTTGGTCATAAACCGTTTCCGTAGTGCATTTTCTCCTAAACCGATTGGAACGAAGAGAAAAGAAAGTTTAATCAGCTGTTTTATGGGAGCGATATTTCCAACTAGACAATCGCAGAAAAGAATTTGTGGACAAACTTTGGTCAGCTTTGGAGCCCTTCTAAAAAAAAAAATGTCTGTACCGGTACCATTTGTCGTGCGGACGCACTCACGTCAAGTATGTAGTCTCTATAAACGGGCGGTGCGCAATCTGGAAGCTTGGTATGATCGCAGGTATGTGGAGGCAGCTGGCAAGGCATTCCGAAACAAATCTATTATGTAATTTTGTATTTTCTAAACAAAATGATTTTTTCCAGAAACATATTCCGCTACAGAGCTGTACTGCTGCGTCAACGCTTCGAAAAGAATCGTGGTGTGACCGACATGGCTGAAGCAGCGCGTCTGCTCGCTGCCGGCGAAAAAGAGCTATTCGAGACGAAACACTTCCAACCAAGAAACTGTAAGTTTAGCGGGGTGAATAAGAATGAACAGCTAACACAGATATGTATATGACTTTTCCAGTTGCCAACAGTGTTGGTGGTTGCGCATTTGAGCGTGAGGTAATACCACCAGACTGGGTTATCGACTATTGGCATCCATTGGAGAAAGCACAATACCCAGAATACTTCGCCAAACGGGAACAACGCAAGAAGGAGTATGTTGCATGGTGGGAAAAACAGTACGGCAAACCAGACCCCAAAGACTTGGGACACCACTAAGGTTAAATCAAACGAGTTTAAGTGGTGTGCACAGTTAAACGAAAATAGTTTTACATCTGCCGTTCCAATCTCATAATGGTAAATAAAAAAAAAAATAAAGTGGAAATTTAAGTATTTTTACTGCAGTGCGTGCGTTTCCACCTATACTGGCCGATTCTGAACAGAAACTCCCTGCGAGTTTGCTCTTTTCCCTTTCCTCCTATCATGAATAAAAATTCCCTGAGGATTTTTAATATTAAATGGCGGAGTTGAGCTGTCCAAAAAAGTATCAAACAGCTTTTTCGAAGTTCGAATTTCCTCCTCCCAAATTTTCGGGGAAAATGCTACTCCCTGGGAGTTAGTTATTGGAGGATTTCTTTCTCGGGAGAAACAAATTCCCGGAGAACAAACTCCCCGGGAGTATTAAGAATTGGGCTGATAGTAGAGGTATATGTATGTACACCTACATATGTATGTAGTCGCTGCATCAAGAAACTTTGGTTGAATTACTACAAGTTTATTGTGTCGAAAATGTTGGGAGCAAGCATTTTCTAAAAGTCCCTGCATTGAATAACACAATTTTATATGCGTGCATGTGTGAATTTATTCTTTAGTACAAGTTATTTCCAAATATTTCATAAATGTGACTTGCGAATCTTACAAAATTTGCTTACATCCATACATTTAAAAAAGAATACCTTAACAACTAAGATGTAATAATGGCTAGGCGCAATGTCCGCACCATATTTAACAAACTTGCAGACAGGTTTATTGTTGCATTAATTCGCTTTTATGTTCCCAGATCTATTGGAGAAAGCATTTGTATAAAAAAATATTTTTTCAAGTTCGAGTTTGTTTTTTTTTTTGTTTTACTTGACCTCTGGTGTGAGTTGGAGTTTCGTAGAAATGTTCGCAAACATTTTTAAATGAAAACCAATTTTTTCTGAAATTTAGTACAGTTATTGAAAAACAAAATAAAAAATAAGCTTTAATAAATGAAATCAGCATATAATCCATAAGTTCCAGCGCATCTTAAACACAAATTGATTATTTGTGCTGCACTCTACGCCCCACCCATTTCACAACTCACAATCCAACTCTTCTTTTTTTATAACATAATTTAATTCATTTCGATGGGTTCCAATCGGGGACGCTTTTTACAACTGTTATTCACCGTGCCATTTCCCACATTTCCATCGCCGCTATTGTGATCACGTTTCCTTGGTAGTGTTTTCTTGTCCCATTGCTGTTTTAGATACCTCAGCAGCACGCATCGTTTATCCATCACAATATGTTGCTCCGATGGTACGTCTTCCGTGGGTAGATATACAGAGGGTCGTTTTTGTGATGTACGAAGACCTTGTTCCATATTAAATTGCGAAAAGTTTTGTACATCGTGACTGGGAAGGTCCTTCAGGAAGTCTGCAACCGACATCTTGCTTGCTGGCAAAAGGAAGCGAATCGTTGCTAGGCTGTGGGTCTTAGTGTAAATGCAGGCGTCAGGTATTGCTTGGATGAGGTGTCCTCGCAATAAATTACGTTTATCTCGTGCTTTTATACAACTGTTGTGTATTTGCTTCGCACCACGCAATTGTTATTGCTATCGTAGCAGCAATTCGCTACTTCACTGAACTCGTGTATATATTCTCAATGCTTATTCGAAATATTACTGAATGAACAAAAAAACAAAAGATTACAATTTTGCAAATTAACAAGCGATCTAAAATATTAGGTGCTTTTACGCTATCTCGAAAGATTTTAGTTTCGTCCTTCCAAACTCTGCAAATTTTTGGCTTGACTTCTGGTGGATTTTGCTTTATTGCTGTTTTCGTAATTCCAACATTTGACACATTGCTTAAAAGACAGGGTTGTTTCTAGAAAAACTCACAGTGGTGTAATATTTTGTATAAATTGACCCGTTTGGCAATTTTAATCGGTTTGTTATCGGAAAATATTTCGGACTTCGGTACGCGCTTCATACAAATTTTCCTTAATATCTTTAATAAAAAGTTCAATATGAATTATATTAAACCATGCGTGTCAACCAAGGCGCATCTAAATATGTAGAAATGCACCTTGATGTCAACTATAAATTTAATTGCCAATAGACTATTGAAATAAAAGATATGTCTCGTAAATGCAATTTGAAAGTTTTCCTCTTAGTTATTACTTTATTTTTTAAATATATCGCCTAATTAATTAACTAAGTTGTAGCAAATAAGTATAATAGATTTTTCGCAAACTGTATAATTTCCGTTCCACCCAGCTTGGAAGTGCCATACACACGGTCCACAAAAGTTATGGGCACCTCACCAATGCTGAAGCCATGCTGGCGTGCACGTACCAACATTTCCATTTGGAAGACATATCCTTTCGACACACAACTGGCAATACATTTCTCGAGAACATGCTTTTTGTATAATCGGAATGAACCCGTCAGATCAGAAGCATTTGGGCGTAACAAAATTTGCGACAGGAAATTCGCACCACGAGAAATGAGCTTGCGCTTAAAGTCCCAACCAAATACACCACCATCGCCGCTATATCGTGTACCTGAGACTATATCGTAATCTTCTTTTGTCTGAAGCTCAATGAACTTGGGTATAAATTTGGGCTATCAAATAAAGAAAACAAATTGGATATGCACATGCATATTTTGAATATGGCATCGCTTTTGTAGATATTAAAGCACTTACATGATGACTCAAATCAGCATCCATTATAATAATAAAATCTCCAGTCGCATGCTTGATGCCGTGTATGTACGCTGTACCAAGACCCAATTTCGATGCACGCGGCCGGAGCACTATTGTCTCTTCACCATAGATTTTCTGTAGATCTTTAGCAACATCCAAGGTTCCGTCAGGACTGCCGTCGTCTATTACAATTACCTCATATTTGTAGCCACTAAAAAGTTTAGGAAGACGTTTGTTTAGAATTAACATTGCATACTAATTGCAGTACTGATTTGATATCTACCTTTCACTAAGGTATTTAACAATAAGCCATACTATAATCGGTAAGTTTTCTTTCTCATTGTATGTGGGCAGCAAAATGCTATATTTATGCACACTTGTAGGCATTTTGCCGCACAATTTTGTATTTAATTTAATTTAAACCTTTTGCCACTTTTGCACACCAGCTGACGTGTTATCAAAATAAAATTAGAAGTGTTGCCAGTGCGTTATATTTGTATTATAACTGGGGGATTGCAAAGATTTGGTCCCTAACCGATTCCGGTAGTTCATTTAGTCCCAAAACAGCAGTTTCGTTGCCAGTGTGATCAAAAAATCGTAAAATCATCGTAAAAACGTAAACGCAAGTTTCGACTGTTACTCAACAAGAAAATTAAAGAAAACATATCTAGAGATCTTCTCATGTTTAAATGTAGCCAAATTTTTCTGTTTTAGTCCTATGCAAATTTGTTTAATAAAAATAATTAATAAGTGTGCAACAACGTTTTGATACCACTGTTGGATTTATAAATATGCTGCTTCGTGCAGTTTTTGGCTCAACCTCCATTTACAACAGCGTTTTTTTTATTTCCCGGGTCAAAAGGATAATGAACAAATTATGCGTCCTAAATTTTATAGTGAAAACTCGATATAAAACTCAATAAAATAAAATTTTTGATATTCCCCTGAAAAAAACCTCTCTGTTGCGAAATTTTCCAATCGAAAATGCTCCGTTAATATAGCGTAGAAATTCTGAAAAGAACTTTTGGAACTTATTGACGTTTAAAAGTCGCGTTAGCAAAAGCCTCTACATATGTAAGACTCAAAAGTGTCCACATAGCGAATTCTAATAACGAAGTCTCGTCTCAAAAAAGAATTCTGAATATTTTGAAACATTTTTGAAATGTTATGTTATTAATATATATATGTATGTATAAATCACATCACTAACAAAAAAGTTTACCCTATTTACAAATTACTTAGAAAACTCCTATAAACGTTAGAATAGTACAAAAGATACGCACGTACACAAAAATGTACAGTGGAGTACGACATAATTTTCACATTGCTGTCCATAGAATGTTCATAGAATCTTTACCCAAGACACCAGATAAAGCTACCAGTAAAATTGGGGTATTTACCCAGTCTGTTCTGGTATTCTCCAGGTAATGGAAAAAATTATTATTTTTCCGTTTTTTTTCAGTTACTTTCTATATCCAATACCATGGCGTAATAAAATAGCTTTCTCTCTTTATTTTCTGACATTCGGCTGACTGTAAAATCTTCAAATAAGACAGTGTCAAAAACTTCCGTCCCGCTCTAATTACTTCACCTGGTATAATTCCACCATTATCCCATCGAAAAATAAATAAACGCCTAACCAAGGTACATTGAACAGGTAGTATCAGTAGAGCAGCTGATTTGATTTATTTTCAAATTATTTGGTCTCGAAAATGTCAAATATTTTTAATTTTTTCTCACAAAAATTCTGAATTGTTAAAATCCATTTGCATGTGAAACCTTTTTCCATACAAAACAAGCGATTGAATAGCAGCTTTTGGAACGTTCGCCCAACTCAGCAGCACAACCGCTGATTACTGGCCCTTGTAAAGGATGGATCAATGCTTCGAGAAGCCAACAAATTTACTAGGAAAGAAAGTTGCATCAATTTTTATTTTTTCCAATTTCAATTTTTTATTTTTTATAATTTTTTGTATTTCACATGGCACGCTTTGATTTAGAAGAAAAAATTCAGAACAGTTTTTGACACTTTCGATACCAGAAGCAACAACAAAATACACGCAAATGTTGTTTTTGCTTTACTGATACTACCTGTTTAATGTGCCTTGCGCCCAACCCACACGTGCTTTCATGTTGTATAAAAAAACACCGCCAAATGAAAACAAACAACAGCTGCTTTTGACAACACCCACAAAGCGCATGCGTAATTTTTTTCGTTGTTACACAAATGTCAGACATGAAACAATTTTATCCTAGTTTTGGCATTTTGTAACACAAATGAGGGTGGAATTCGGTAGTTGCCTTGCAAACGGATACGTACTGATACATTCAGGACAGTTAAAAAGTTAGTCAAGGAAAATATACATAAGTGTTCTCACGGGGAAATCGCAGCTGCTGGTAAAAAAAAAAATTATAAAAAAAAAAAAAAATGTATAGTATATTTAAGCGACTATGTGATTAAAAAATAGTGAAAATAAAAACCAGTGCATTCAAAGAAGTACAGAAAAGTTAAAGAGCTGCGTTTAAAGCAAAAAATTTAATTTAACTAGTGGCTAAAGTGAAAGAATTTGTAGAAATCAAACTGCACTTAAGATAGAATGGCTAAAAAAATATCCTTCAATGTCGTTTTCGCCTCCGGTAAGTGCCCTTAACTATGTGTAATTAGTTTAAGTACTCAACTTATTTCGTAATAAGCCAACAGTTACTCGCTAAACGGACAATAAGTCCAACATTTAGGGAAAAATTCCATTAGTTGAACTTCCCGATGCGTAATCGTCTATTCAAGAGAAAGGCAGTGTCATTTAACTGGAGAAATCGATAAATCACGCCATCCTGTTCCGACTACTTTTAATTGAGGCGAGCCATGATCTGAAAGACTTAAGATGTTGGTGCGTTGCATTTAAAAGTTGTCTTATGCAATTACATATGTACTTTGAAATAACAAGCTCTTGGAGTAAACTAAATATGCACATTTGTACACAAAAAATAACGTACATATGTACATATGTACATGCATACGTAAGGAAAGTAAGGCAAATACATATGTGCTACATAAATATTACAACGAATAGAATCCTTCCAAGAACTCCATTCTTGATTTATTGCTATTTTGTATGCCACACATTAACACTTCCCCACATGCAGTTATCCGGGCGAGGCTTTTACACACGAAAGTTTGTTGTGTTGTTGTTAGGAATGTGCGCTGTCAAAGCTATTTATTTTCATGTTATAAACGGACAAACGTGCATGTTTTACACCTGGGCATGAACAGCCCCTCATGAGTAGGAATAAGCCCCGACAACTCGCTTTGTAAATAATTAATTTGCTGAAATACTAAAAACAAATGTACACACAACTAATATAAAGTGTTTATATACGTAATACTGGCACTCTATTTTACCCCATTTTGATTATATGTAGTAAGTATGTAAGTGCACGTGTGGTTTAGAGAATTTTTTTTACATACACTCCGTGTCATAATTATAAGCGCGGCACATATTGAATTTTTTTCAAAATTTTTTTTTTTTGTTATTTAATTATAGTTGTATTATACAAAAATACAGTTTTTTTTTTTATAACAAAAATCTTATAAATTCAATTTAAAACTTTGTGCAATACATATGTGCATATTTAAAAAAAATTAACAAACTTTGGAAAAATTTCGGGCTTCTTTTAGTAGATTTCTTAGAACGATTTTGAGCATGCACTTTTGTAGCCCATTTTTGTATGATAAGTTTTAGTACAATGAGGTGCAAGTTTGAAGTAGTTAGGTTTTACCGTTGATTTACGGTAATTGTTTATTTTTATTTTTTTTTTAGGTACTTTGCATGGCAAACAACACTGTCAGCAAAAAAAAATCCAAAAAGCATCTACTTCAAACTTGCACTTTATTGTGCTAGAATCATCCTAAGAAGTCTTACTAAAGGTCTTGTAATTTTTATAAAATTTAATTTTTTTTAATATCTCGCAAAGTTTTAAACTTTGATTTACACGATTTTTTTCAAGAATAATCTATTTTTTTATAAAACAATAACTAAAATGAAATTACAAACTGTAACAAGGAAATACATTTTTACAACTTGCCAATATGTGATGTGTCTATAATTATGAAACGGGGTGTACACAAAAAAAAAAAAACAATCTGATAATTTACAATACAATACAATATATGCGTAATGCCTTAAGAAATTAGCATCAGTGGCGGATTTACCGTAAAGGCAACATAAGCAGGTGCTTAGGGCGGCAAAATTTAGGGGCGGAAAAATTTGAGTTGAAAAAAATTATTTTTTCTTTCAAGTTAGCTGCACTGAAAGTAGAATTTGTGTTGGTACATTTTAAGACATTAATTTGGGATTCAACTACGCAATCAGTAAATTGGACAACACTTTTAGTTATTTTTGATATTATTTAAATGATAATATTTAAAAATGCTAATTTAGTATTTTTGAGATTATAACTTATCAAGCGAAAAAACTTTGTTGATGACGGCTTTTTTTAAAAGTTGAAAGCCTTTACTCAAGGCAAATACCACTTTTGTTTATCTTAAATTGTAGTAAAAATATAGTAAATAACATAAATTTGAAAATTACTATTTACTGCTAATCGTTCCAAAACTGGTACTTTTACCTTAAAAATATTTTTCTTATCGGAAAAACGGCGGCAAATTCTGAGTTGCCTAGTGGTGACAAATATTCAAATCCGCCACTGATTAGCATGCATTCCCCAATAAACTCTTTCATTTTTCAAAATAATTATCTTCAAAGGTATTCGAAAATTAATTTAGATTATTGCGGTCGTTGGTTAGTAACACATACATACATATGTATGCACATGGCTAACTAAGTGTACCTAAAAGATGAAATCGAGCCGAGCAGTACGTTCACGACTTTTATAATCCGAAGTATGCATTTTTACGTGACGAGTTATTCGTTCACCACTGTTATGATTTGAGCCCAGGCCTTGCGGAATGGTAGCGCGCACTGCTAACCACTACAACACGGCCGAAATCCAATGTGTGCTGCTTCGCGAAGCCTCAATCTTTGCGGTTGTAAATGACTTTAGAGAGGAACTGGAAAAAGTCGGCTGTCGGGGTGATCGCCTATGTAGATGATGTTGAACTTTTGGGTTAAGGAACGATTTCTAGACACCCTTTTTGGTCTGGATCAAGGTTACCTGAACCAGGTAGCTAGACGGGCGGTCAACGGCGGCTTCGCAGTAAATGTCAGCAAGATGAAACTGGTATTGTTTACCAAGAAGTACAAGATACCCGTTGTAGCCCTTCCCTCGAGTGGGGTGTACGTCTATGGCTCTCAGACAGGATCAAGCAGTTAAGCTGTCGTGGAAGACTAACATTGAGGAAAGGGTAAGTAAGAAAGACGTCGGTTGCCTTGGGAGCTATCGGCAAAAGGTAAGGTCTCTTTCTCAAAGTAATTCATTAGCTCTATGAAAGCAGAATTAAGCCTATCTTGTTTCACAGAGCCCTTGTCTGATGGAACCCATCAGAGAAGGCTACACTTGTAAAACAACTGGAGCATTTACAGTGGATCGCCCTAATCGGAATTCGTTGAGCATTAGGAGCCACAAAGGGCGCTTAACGTCGTGTTGAACACGGCGCCAGCACATATTGTAGACAGAATTGTCGCAGCACAAACTGCTATTATGCTCAGGAAAACCGGATAGTAACACTCTGGAGTTCTGGAGGACTTTGGCTTCGCCCTGTACACATAGATTAAGCGTCTCCGAAATGGCTCCCAGAAGCTCCTTTTCTAACTATATTCCCCCAAGAGAGGACTGGGGAGTAGGGTTGCCAGACGTCCTGCTTTTGGAAGTAAACGTACTCCTTTTTATTGCAATGTACTCCCTTGTACTCCCAAAAAAAAATATCTGGAAATGTACTCCTTTATTAGCTTTGTACTTCTTTTGTACTCCTTTTTCCAGCTAGTAATATTTTATCATATACAGGGTGTAAAATAATATCTGTTGCACAGTTTTTTTTTTTTAAATACAAAGGGCCTTTATAGATTTTGCGAAAAAGTAGTTTATTGTTAATTATCCAGAGATTTTACTTCAATTTTATTAATTTGTTTTTAAATTTTAACTTTCATTTGGGTTTACCGGCGGTAAACACTTTGGGAGAAAAGCGCAAGTCTTCGTCGATTACTTTATTACATATCTTCTGTAAACATAGGCTAATTTCCCACATTTGGGTCCTTTATACTCCGTCTTTTCTTCAACATAAGGCCTCATACTCAGCAATCGAAAAGACTCGAAACTGGTGACTAGGAGGGCATTCATTCGACTAACCCTATACGGTTTTTTTTTTTTTATACAAAATCTAAGAAAAAATACACCAGAAAAAAAAGTTCGTGCCGCATGTACTTATCTCCCAAAGCTGGCAAATGCAAATCAGGATTAAAATTTTAAAACCAATTAATAAAATAAAAGTAAAGTATTTACAAAGTGAACAAAAAAAAACACAAAATCTATAAAGAACCCTTTTATTTTTCAAAAAACCTGCGCGACAGTTATTATTTTGCGCGCTGTACTTTGCCATTCATATTGTGGCAAACACTACTTAGGGCCATTTTCACCATCTCTGGTTAACACTAAGCCCCAGTTAAACATTGTTACCGACCCAATGTTAAGTGAATGGAGTCAGTACCATCGGTAACGATGTTTAACTGGGGATTAGTGTTAACCAGAGATGGTGAAAACGGCCCTTAGTAAGTAAAGTTAAGTGTGATAGTGAAAAGGTGTAAGCATAGCCTTAGGGGCATGGCGCTCGGGTATAAAAATCAGAAAAATATTAAATTAATTATAAGGCTTAAATTAAGAAGGAAGAGTCTGGAATTCTTTTGTAGTTTTTAGTTTTTTAGTTGGGGACACTTTCCTATAAGAGCGGTCATTGAGAACCGAATTCTACGCAAAAATACTGTGGACGCAAGTGAAAATTGTGACTTTTGGCAATTTTTCTAAGGGGTCCCGTAGGGGCCCTAGGTGGTCGGGAGTAACATTTTTGTCAATGGCGGTTCCTGCCCTCTCCAAAAAGGTCGGAGAAGGTGCCACGTCCACTCCCCCTTCGATCACCATCTCTTTAACAACGGTCCCTATTGGAAAGCCAACCCATATAGTTATTTATTTTTCCCATTTATTGTTGCTTTGAAAAAGATTTCTAAGATATCTTTGTTTGTTTGTAGCTAATTAATGGTAATTTGTAACAACAAATTGCACAAAAAATTGACAAAAAAAAATTTTACTCCTTTTTTATGTTATATACTGCTTTTTTTCTATCGAAAATATAAATGTACTCCTTTCTCCGTTTCAAAATCTGGCAACCCTACTGGGGAGGGCGAGCTTACTCGAAGAAGGGAGCGGTAAACGTCTTCATGGACGGATCAAAACTTGGGGACAGGGTTGGTATAGGTGTCTTCTGTCGGAAACTCTTCACCAAAACTATGTTCAGGCCTCCGGACTTCTGCAGTGTCTTTCAGGTGGAAATAGCTGCCTTCAAGGAAGCGGTAGACCCACTGCTGAGGGGTGCGATGGTGCGCTCGAAATCGGTAAAGGAATGTCTGATCTCTCTATCAATAGCGTCGGACTACTTCTTAATAAGGCTAGTTTAGGTGCCGGGTTACAGT